GAGGAGGGGGGGGGGGGGGGGGGGGGGGAGTAGGTAGGGTAGAGGGGGAAAAGAGAGAGATAGAAATGGATGGGGAAAGGCAAGGAAGTATGGGGTCTTTCTGATACAGAGTTCTGGGTTTAGATGACCCCAGCTAGATGCCTATCTAACCTCCTCTTGAAGACCCCCAGGGTAGGGGAGAGCACCACCTTCCTTGGGAACCCATTCCAGACCTTGGCCACTCGAACTGTGAAGAAGTTCTTGTCTAAATCTGTTCTCTGCTAGCTTTTGGCCATTATTTCTTGTAACCGCCGGGTCGCCTTGGTGAGTAAAGCCTCACCAAATCCCTTCTGTGCCCCCATGATGAACTTATAGGCAGACACAAGGTTGCCTCTCAACCTTCTCTTGCAGAGGCTGAAGAGGTCCAGGTGCCCTAGTCTCTCCTCATAGGGCTTGGCCTACAAGTCCTTAACCATACAAGTGGCCCTTCTCTGGACCCTCTCCAGGTTATCCACATCCCTCTTGAATTGCATGCAGTATTCCAACTGTGGTCTGACCAGCGCCCAATAGAGGGGAATTATCACCTCCTTGGTTCTGTTCGTCATGCATCTGCTGATGCACGATAAAGTGCCATTAGCTTTTCTGATGGCTTCGTCACACTGCCGACTCATGTTCATCTTGGAGTCCACTAGGACTCCAAGTTCCCTTTCCGCTTCCGTGCCACCAAGCAGGTCATTTCCTAGGCAGTAGGTATGCTGGACATTTTTCCTCCCTAGGTGCAGCACTTTGCATTTCTCCTTGAATTGCATTCTGTTGTTTTCTGCCCATATGTCTAACCTGTCCAGGTCTGCTTGAAGTTGTTCCCTGCCCTCCAGTGTGTCCACTTGTCCATTTTTTTTCAGCTTTTCCTCATAAGTAATGTTTCCCAGATCTCTAAGCTTTTTGTTGCTCTTCACTGCACTCTTTCTTATTTGTTGCCATCTTACTTAAAGTGAGTGCTCAAACTGGACAAAGCACTCCAGGTGAGGTCTCACTAGTGATCTACAGAGTGGAAGATGAGAAGCACCTCTGTAACCATACGGTGCCGAAGTTTTCTTGTCAAAGAAACCTTTCTCTATACAAACTTTATCTGTCACTCCTGATAAGAGTGAGAGAGCTTTTTTTTAATAAATTGGATTCTGAGGTTGAAAATTTAAATCTCAAGACATCTTTGATTAAGAATTAAATTTAATATTTGGAAGGGCCTTCTTTATATCTCTGAGTGGGGGAAAAAAAACCAAATCAAAGATGAACTTACCAGTTCTTGAAGCAAATGCGTATTTAGAGAGTGTGAACGATTATTCATTAAACCTCATGACCTTTAAATTGAACTTTGTTTGGTCTTTTGAGAGAGGTTTAGAAAAATTACTCCTCAAAAATTATGCATGCATTCATAAAATCAGGTCATACGACAAATAATTACATTTGCCAGATAGCTCATCTAAATTGCTATAGGAAAAATATTTGAACAAGTTTAATTCCTCTTTACTACTGTATATACTCAATTCCAAGACTAGGTTCCCCCCATTTAATCTTGGGGGTGGGGAGGGTGGGAAAAAACAATTTTTTGTTATCCTTAACTTGGGATGCCATCCTCAGCTCCATGGTAGCTTTGACCTGCCTAACTGCCTCCCTACAAGCGCGAGCAGAGGAGGTATACTCCTCTTTGGTAATCTCTCCCCATTTCCACTTTTTATATGCCCCTCTCCTTGCCCGTAGACTGCTCTGGATTTCTCTGGTCAGCCAAGGAAGCCTCTTGGCCCCTTCCCCCTTTTTCCCCGCATCGGGACCGTCTCCCTCTGTGCCCGAAGGATCATTTCCTAAAGGCACAGCCACCCTTCCTGGGCTCCCATCTCTTCAAAACTCTTACTCTGCAGTGTGTCCTTGGTGTGGGGGTCTGTAGCAGACCCCTACCACCAAATCCCTTTCTCCTTGACCTCCATGTAACCTAACCCACAAATCTTCTACTTTCTCCTCTTCTGATTCCATTTTGATAAGGGTCAATGTATATTGCTCATTGACATAGAGTGCAACCCCTCCCCCTCTCTTCCCCACTCTATTCTTTCTGTACAGCTTATAACCCTCAATGCAGGGGGTGAGACTCAATGATCTATTGAGGTCCCTTCTGACCCTAACGTCTATGAATTGCCACCCCCCCCCTTGACATCGCCCCATCCGGGGTGATGTCACCATACCAGTTGTGACGGTAGTTTTGCTTCATTGATTCTGGCTTGTACCATGCTCAGGGTAGAAAGGAGTTTTCAATATTGAACCCCCCCCCCCACCCCAAAATATCAAAATAATCATTAGAATAAACAGTATTACAATTGGATGGAACACAAGGTTGAGGGCCCCAATGGCAGTTGGGGATCACATGACCAGGGTCTCCCATCCACTGTGGTGTGTGGCTTCCTCACCCTTACTTCATACCTGGGTGACCTTATGGTTGTTAGCTTGTATAATGGTGCAGGTTTTGTTAGTCTGGTGGTTTAGGGTCTGCAGGGCTTGTTGAAGTTCCGGGTGCTCAGTAGCATGTCTGAGGGCTTGGGAAGAGATTCCTAAATGGACTGGGGTTGGATTGTGCCTGAAAACACCTTATTTCTTATCAACAGATGAATATGTCACCCTCCTGAGCTTGTATCATATACCACTACCAGCGATTGCCCTGACATTGCATAGACATACATTCTGTTGAAGGTTAGTAATGCTATAAATTAATTTATGATTAGGGTAGTGCATAAAGTGTGAAGACGTATGCATCCTAAGCCCACATCTACAGTTTGATTGTTGGGGGTCTCTAATCATTACATATGAGCAAACTGAAAAGTTAGGGTCGAAGCAAAGAGCATTAGATTGTAGCATAAATTCTTTGCAAATGTATCTGTAATTGGGGGCCTGCTCGGGGCTGATTTTCCCAGTGGCCTGCCCACCTTCTTGTCTGCCATGCCTTGATGTTAATTGATTAATAGATGTCAATTAAGCGGGAGGCTGCCCATTTTCTGCCCCGATGCCAGGGGATGCTATCTGTGGCTCCTTTCCTCCCCCACACCTCAGCCCAAGCCTCGCAGATGGCATCTAGATGTTCTCCTCAATCACCAGCCCCACACTGGGTCCCAGAATCCTCCTATCAGGACCCCTCCAAGATTCCTCCATTCAGGCAGCATACCCCACCTTCATTTAGGCTATCTAGCTCCCTGAAACTATTTTCCCCTCTCAGGTGTGGTCCCCCCAGGACCTTTGGCTACCAGCCCTGGCCCACCTCCAGGCCAGTGAGGACCCCAGACCTCCACTTTTGGGCATCGCTCACAGTGGGCCCCTGGCACTTCTGACGGTCCTGGCCCCAGCATGGGCCAGTCGAGGGTACTCTCTTGATCAGGTCCGAGCCTCTAGCCCCTCACTCTCTCCAAGGGTCTCCCCTCTGGGCCCTACAAGCAAAGGGGTTACCCACCCAGTGGTGGGGGCTAGGGGTTAAGGCACCCCAACCCACCTTTCACCAGGGTGGTAACTGGCCTAGCATTTCCTGGGGGCTCCCGCACCACTGAGCCCCACCAGGCCACCCACTCCTAGCAGGGTGTAGTTTTTAGGTCATGCCCAGGACCAGGAGCCTCCTTACCATCCCCTACAGCTCCTCCCTTACCTCCAGATGATACCAGCAGTCCTCCAGCCAGGCAGTGTTGTTGCATGGCCTCTAGCAGCCGAGCTTTCCTGTTTATATGGACAGTCCCAGATCCCAAAATGGTTTCCCTAATCAGGCACCTGGCAGCTGCCAGCTCCAAGCCCTTAAAGTGGCAGGCACACAATGCCCTGACAGTATCCAGAACCAATGTTCTTACAGTCACTGATGGAGATGGCTTCAAACCTGCCATCAGGTTGTTTCTGTGCCCAATGTCTGTGTGTTTGAGGGATCATGAATGTGTTATTGATTCAGCTGCCTAGAGTTAGAATTGGAAAAATTCTTATTTTTTTTACTGCTGATTACCCAGAAATTATGATATTAATAGTCCAAGTATCTAGATTGAAACTGAATTGCAGCATTCTATTGTATGACTGGAACTCTGAGGATTACTTGGTTTGGGTCATTAACAGGTTTTGGATTTCCAATGGGATACATCCTTCCATAGCTTGGAAGATAATACCCTTGATTATGTCTAAGTACTAGGTTTGGGCTTGGATGCACATGAGGGCAGAGGAGGTATTTCTTCCTAAGGCTATGATAGCCTCAGTCAGGGTATGGAAGTCTTAGGGTTCAGTGTGCTGCATCCATCACATCAAGGATGCCATGGATACAGTCAGTTGATCTATTGACCTAAAGTTATCTTCTGCAGGTTTGTCTAGCTGGTGGAAGAGGTGTCCGACAGTTACCAGTATGTTTTGGAACACCTCTGAGTTTGTGGAATTAATGACACTGGCACCAGCCCCAATCACTCCCAGCACTATGTCCAGAGACCTTTGCCTTCCTGGAGCATGGGAGTTGTCAGCATCCAGCTTGGCAAGGGTTTGCCTAACCCATGCCTGTCACCTGATGCTTAAAGGGATCACAGTTTCCACACTGTTGCAGGACACTGTGCTTGCAAGTCAATGGATCTAGTTGTATGTATTAGTAAAGGTTTACTTATGTCTCTCAACTATGAATGGTTCAATTTCATGTTTTTGCACCTCTTCATGAACAGTGATTTCAGTGGCCAGAGCAGGGAGATCCTCAGAGGATGAGGCTCTCCATGTTCCAGAATCTGGAAGGGAGAAGCTGTGGGTACAAAATGCTACAGTTGGATAGGAGACAATCCCCCTCCGCAGTTAGTAGAATTGGATGTAAAGTTTTTAGAATTTGGGATAAACCATGTGAGCATGATGTGAAACCATCCTTATGGCTAAGTTACTGTCACTTGCATCAGTTCTGGGGAGGTTGGTTGGGAGGTGTTGCTTCCCCGGTTTTGCGGTTGACTGCATAGTCATCCTTTATTTTCCACTCTGGGTGTTTTGAGGACCTAGTTTGTTCTGTGGATATGTTCCCTTTAGATCTTTCTTTTGCAGTGATATCTGCCAATTGGTTCATTTTGGCTCCTAGGGTGTTGTTGCATTGGTGCCCTTTTACATGCCAGATGTGTAATGAGGAGGGATATTTTTGAATCCAGCTCCATATTGCTTGCCAGTCCTTCTTGAGCAATTTTTTTTTTTTTTTTTTTACCATCTACAGTATGCCAATTAACTTTATTCCAATTTTGGGTCCAATACACTAGTGCTTTAGCACAAAAATCTGAGTCGGTGTATACCCACAATTGTCCTCCAAGGGGGTACTGCTGCTCAAGTAATTCCTTGAGAGTGTATCTTTTACCCTTGGGAAAACTGGAGCTCCCATCCCATGGTCAGGCTGATCTTTTACTGATGTATTTTCATCTAGTGGGAGAGCCTCAGCTACCCAGGTGCCTTCCTGGCATGGGTTCACATCAGGGTACTCATGCCTTGCACCTTCTTCTAACAGGGCATAGGGAAGTAAATCTATTTTGGCTTGAGTTTCATGTCTTATACCTTATCCCTTTAAAAACAAAGCCCACTGAGCAATCCAAGTATAAGAGATCTTGAACCCTGTCAGTTTCCCTGACAGGATGTTTTTCAGAGGTGAGTGATATGTTTGAATAATCACTGGGGACATTTCAGTCAATCTTTCAAATTTCTGCATTTCCCAAACCACAGCCAAACATTCCCTCTCACATTGATTAAAGTCTGGTCCTGCCAATTTCCATGATTCTTAGGCCACAGGCACTAGTTTGTTGTTTGAGTCCTTTTGCAACAGAACAGCTGAAAAAGCTTGATCTGTTGAAGCCAATTTAACATAAAAGGGTTTGGCTGGGTTTGGGCTGGTGCAGCTGTTGCCCTGTGGGGTGAGGCCAGAGAGAAGGCAAAAAGTGGTGGGAGTGGGGCTGAGAGCCTGCAGAACAGGGAGAGAGAGAGGAGGCAAAGAAAGTGGCAGGGGCGGGACTGAGAGCCTGCAGAAAGCAACAGGGCTGAGAGCCTGCAGAAGAGGGACAAAAAGGAGACAAAGTGTCAGGAACAAGGCTGAGAGCCTGCAGAAAGCAATAGGGGCAGAGAGGAGGCAAAAAGTGGTGGGAGTAGGGCTGAGAGCCTGCAGAAAGCAATAGGGCTGAGAGCCTATAGAGAAGGGACCTCCTTCTAAAATCCTGGGGGATAATCAATGTGCTTGATTTCAAGGGTCCTATTACCTGCCCTATTAAGGGGTAAGACCATCCCAGACAACAATCCTAACATCACGCACCTAACTACGTAATCCCCAACTGGTTCCCCTTGGGCCTGGCTGCTAGCCCCAAACTGCCCTCTGAAAGTTTTCCTCTCAATATTTACTCCCAGATCCTGTATACTCCGGAGGATCAAGTCTCCCCTAAAGCCACCCTCTCAGTACATAACTGCTATAATTTCTGGGGGTGCACAGGCTGCTCTTAAACTGTGCCACTCCCAAGTATTTAGGGTTTTGTTCTCCACTACCTGGAGCAATTTTTGCAGCCCTTGCCCCAAGTTTTTTTATATTAGTGGTCCCCAGTGTTTTACCTAGGGCAGCAAAATCTGCCCCACTAAGGGGAACCAATACATTGGTGGTTTTCCAGTTGTTCCCTTGTGTGTCTCAGGTGACCAAGGTCCTAGTGACTACACACACCTCGGGCCCTAGTTTTGTCTCATCCTCGAACTCAAATTCTTCAAGGGAGGGGTACAGTGCATGGTGCAAGTCCCCTTTCCTGCCCCTGGTTCTTCCCTGAAAAAAGGGGGCATCTGATTTCCAGCTTGGTTCTCCCTGAACCAGAGCAGCTTCTTGTAAGCTGTGCTTCTGGAGCTCTTGCTTTAAGCGGTTAATGTTTACTTCACAGGGGCAGGATTAGTTTTGGCTTCTTTGCCAGATTGATTTTTTTACATTGGTTTTCACCAGGTTTTGCAAGGCCCCCTGGCTTGCTTTTTTCTGGTAAAGTGATTCTAATTGTTGGGCTTGCTTTGATTTGTCTCTGTTAATTCCTCATTTTCTTGTTCCAAATTATGGAGGAGGCTTTATGTTTGGTTATTCATTTCTAATTGTGAATTTTTGTCCCTCAGAGTCTGAATTTTGTTTTCCTTTTCTTTGATTTCTAAGACTCTTTGGGTTTTCTCTTCAATTGTTGTCTTAACAGCATGCCACAGTCGCCAAACTGTGGTACTGTGCTGTCTCTAGGCTGATGGCTTTTTGCAGAGACAAAATTTCTCAAATTGGACTTCAGTATCATTCAGGTATAACCCTGGGGTATACACATTCTCCTTCCAAGGAGGATGACCCTCCTTCAGAACTTCCCTGTGCAAAAAGAATACCCCCTCCTTTTTCACCCACTTAGCTTCATGGTCACTAATGTATGGCGTGAGGGTCTTCTTTTTAAACATACTGGTTCCTGGGCTCCTATGCAATAACAACAACAGAAATGCCTTGGGTTCCTGTCTGCAGGGGGCAGGAGTTCCCCTAAAAATGCCTCTTTACTGGGTTCTGAACACCCACTATGCTGACCCTTCACCGGGCATGCCCACTCCCCACTGGAGTGAGTTCTACAAGACCTCTCACCCTCAGTAACAATCCTGCTATGTCCACATTCTCCACCAGAAATGTTGACTTGACCAGCAGGACCAATGCTCAGGATCAGCAATTTCAGGTTTACTAGACTAGGGTGTAACTATGCAAACACAGAAAAAAGTACAAGAAACTAAAACAGGTACAAGAAACTGTTGGTCCACACACACACACACACACACACACACACACACACACACACACACACAGGTGACTGTGGGTTGGTAATTGGAGACTGAAATTGGTGGTGTGCAGTCCTAGGGGAAGAGAGGGAGAGAGATGAAGGTACAGACTTATGCAGCACACAGCTGTCTGTCAGGGGAGGAGACAGAGAGACACACACACACTTCTGCAGCACACAGCTTTAGTGCCCATTGGGAACAAGGGTTAGAGAGAGAGGCACATACTTCCGCAGCACACAGCTGTCTGTCAGGAGGGAGAGGGGGCGGGGGGCTGAAGGGAGAGGCTGGAAGCACTGAGGTGATATTTACCTATCCAAGTGCCATGGATTGACGATCGATGGCCAGTCAATGTCGTCCAGAGGGAATCACCAGCTGAACCTCTGGTGGATGGCTCGTGCAGGTTATATGGTGGGGTGCTGGTCCAGATAGGGGAGGTGTCCAGCAGGGTCACTTTCACCTGTCTTTTTATCAGGCAGTTCCCTTGTGAGCCCTGTGGGTTCAAAGCCCAGATGGAAGAGGGGCTAACAGCTTTCGTTTTCTCATTGATGCGAGTCCCACCCAGTGGGATGTGCATTTTCAAAGCGTCCATTCTTCTGACAGTTTTGGGTGGGGGGCTTCTTCTCAGAATTCACAATGAGGGTGGTGCTGGATTACTGGAAATCCATAATGCTCCTGATTGCTTCCTGGAATCTTATTTCCAATTGAATGCAGGGCTGTTCCTGTGTATCTTTGTGTTGATGGGTCCATCTCTGTCTCTGTCTCTGTCTCTGTCTCTGTCTCTGTCTCTGTCTCTGTCTCTGTCTCTGTCTCTGTCTCTCTGTCTCTCTCAATTTCCAGTCACTCGGGGATCATACAGGTACAATTGATATTACAACGTGGTTACAGTCTGGCTAGCTGGTGTCTGTTCTGCAGGCTGTTTGCACCCCTGGGGATGAGGCAGGGTTTGGCTTAATGCCAAAACCACCCCTTGGGATGTAGAGTTCAGGGGGTAGAAAGTTTGCCCACACAGAACAGGAGGGTGGAGGAGGGGACACTGCATCCTGGGAAGCTGCAAGACTGCAGCTTTTGCTTATCTATGGGGAGTGGCCACATGTTAATGGAACACAAGCTGGGTAACACAGATAAACTTGCTCTGGATTTGTATAACTTTAAGCCTAGAACTAGATTAGGGTGTTATTGTGTGGAGAAGCTATGGTTTAAGAGCTTCAGGAGCCACCTAAAATTAATGCGTAACCAAGCTAAAAAGGACATACATGCTTGAGTTAGATCTAAGTAGCACAAGGAAGACGCACGTGGTACAAACTATAAGGCAGGATATAGATGAAAAAATGAAGCTCCAGGTAGTTTGGGATGATTGAGGAGACCAAGTTGAGATTTTAGTGTAGTGTAGACCAGGGATATCAAATTCATCCAGCCCTGGAAACCAAATGAGCAGATTTAGTGGGCTAGACTGGAACCAACCACCTCTAACACCCCTCCCCCCTGACCCACAGCATTGGGTCCACCCTGCACACAACACATGCCAACCCCAGAAGCCAGCATGGCCTGCACACTGCTTGAGGCAAATGGGCTGGACCCACTACTGCAGGCAGCAGAGGGTTGGTCCAGGGTGCTGCATGAAGCCCTGATGACTGTTCACAGCAAGCCTCGGGACCAGTGCATGCTGCCTGTAGCATGCATGGCTGGACTGGCTGAATGTGCTGCACATGACATATGGCACACTACATGTGGTGCTGTCAGCTGGCCCTGCACACTGGCTTTGTGCCCAGCAGAATGCCACATGGAGTGCATGCCCTGTGCCAGCCTGCTGAGTTGCATGCTATGT